TAAAGCATCTGCAATTAAATATACATCTATTCCTAACATGCATAATAATTGTTATCTTATCCCCTTTCAAGATCAAAACCTCAATATTCCCATCTAGGGTTCTAACCCTCAAACTATCATCAATTATTAGATTGATCAAGTCTAACAAAGAAAATAGAAATTTCGCACAAGGTAAAGATAAAGAAATTTATATAAACGAGTAGAAATAAACCAATCCGTCGTAACAAGGGTTCACATAAGGTTTGTGACCCTAACTACAATAAAGAAAACTTAGCCAACCATTATCATGGCTGATAAATTTAATATTCAATATTCATATTATACTGTAACTAATTTTTTTTAAATCATGAATATCATCTTTTAACTTTATGGAACTAGAAAGCATTCAAGTATATTAAAATAAAAAACATGATACCTTTTTCGTTACCTAACTCTGGTTCATTTTGTATCTTAGTTTGGTTAATATGTCGATATTTTGTCTTTGCTCCTCCAACATCTCATACGCCCATTTATAATAATTCCATTTTTAATGACTGTTATTATTAAGCTCTTATAATTAATGAATATATATATTAACCCCTATTTTAAACACACAAGCAAATGATTTAACTTGATATATATAATCGCCCTATTTCAAAACTTTTCAGTAGTAAATATAATCGCCCTCTGTATATATAGCTCAATAATAATATAATCTAGCTTAATAATAATAAAATCAACGAAGGGAACTTTATATAATGGGTATGAAGTGTGAGATGTTGGAATAGCAAAGACATAATATCGACATATTAAACAAACTAAGACACATAATGAAACAATAATGGGTAAATTCCATTTGATTTGGAGGTTTGCGTGATAAAATAGTGTATATAAATATAAAAAATAAATAAATGTTAATGGATAAAAATTATATTTATTACTTGTTTTAAAAAAAAAATTTACAACTCTTACTACTAAACTAATTACCGTCGATTTCCGACAATCAAACAATTCTATTTTATTAGGAATTAATAATTAATTAATAAATGTATCTAATAAATTATAACCGTTATACGAGTGACAATCAATAATAATTAATTTAGTAGTAAGAATTGTAAAACTTTCCAGTAGTAAATATAGTCATTCTCCAAATATATATATATATATATATATATATATATATATATATATATATAGCTGAATAATAATCTAATCTAGCTTAATAATAATAAAATCAACGAAGGGAACTTTATGTAATGAGTATGAAGTTTGAGATGTTGGAATAGCAAAGACATAATATAGACATATTAAACAAACTAAGACACGTACATAATGAAACAATCATCGGTAAATTCCATTTGATTTGGAGGTTTGCGTGATAAAATAGTGTATATAAATTTTTTAAAAAATAAATGTGAATGGATAAAAATTATATTTATTCCTTTTTTAAAAAAGTTTTACAACTTTTACTACTAAATTAATTTCCATTGATTTTCGTCAATCAAGCGATTATATTTTATTAGGAATTAATAATTAATTAATAAATGTAGCTAATAAATTATAACTGTTATATGGATAAAAATCAATAGTAATTAATTTAGTAGTAAGAACTGTAAAAATTTTCATTAGTAAATATAACCGTTCTCCATATATATATATATATATATATATATACGGAAAAAACATTTCTACAACCACTTTAGATAAGATTGTCTACAGCTACCTTTTTTCACTAAGTACGACCAGTCGTACATTAAAATTATATTTTCTCTCACCGCCACGTCAGCCGACAATGTTTGAGGAAAGAGAAAAAAGAACAGCTCTATTGTTATAACTAAGTACGACTGGTCGTATTTAGTGAAAAAAGAGTAGCTGTAGACAACCTTATCTAAAGTGGCTGTAGAAATATTTTTCCAAATATATATATATATATATATATATATATATATATATATATGGCTTAACATTTCTGCAGCAGCCGTAGATAGTGTTATCTACAGCTGACACAGAAAAGTGGGCCCCACAGCTTTTTAAAAAAAAAAAATACTCAGGATCCGTTGTCCTATCCTAGGATTCCGACGCGGATCCTTACTTGCTGTAGTTACAGCAGCTGTAGAAATCATTTTGCCATATATATATATATATATATATATATATATATATATAAGGTAGGATCCTTTGACACCGGTGTCAAATTTGAAGTTTGACACCTCATCTAAGAGTCATTAGATAAAAAAAGATCAATGGTGTCACATGTTTACAAATCAGAGTTGTTGATCTTTTTTGATCTAATAGTTCTCAGATGAGGTGTCAAACTTCAAATTTGATACCGGTGTCAAAGGATCCTGCCTATATATATATATATATATATATATATATATATATATATATATATATATAGCTGAATAATAAGATAATCTAGCTTAATAATAATAAAATCAACGACGGGAACTTTATGTAATGGGTATGAAGTGTGAGATGTTGGAATAGCAAAGACATAATATCGACATATTACACAAACTAAGACACATAATGAAACAATCATAGGTAAATTCCATTTGGTTTGGAGGTTTGCGTGATAAAATAGTGTATATAAATTTAAAAGTAAAATAAATGTTAATGGATAAAAATTATATTTGTTCCTTTTTTAAAAAAACTTTTTACTAAAATTGTAAGTATTTGTTAAAAAAAATTAATAAAAAAATGTAAACATACATGCTTTGGAGCACTTTGGCTTTATATCATTTGGGATGTTTTGAATCATCTATTCTCACAGAGGAGTAGTTGCTTCAAGAGAGAACAATAAGTCCACCATTGCGTTCTTCAACCTGGGTTCTACCCTGCATTTTAGAATAATAACGTTATAAAAAAAACAACATTTCAAAAAAATCATAACTTCGTTATTTAAATAAAAAAAAACACAGAGGAGAAATTCCACTTGTACTCAGCTAAAGAAAATACAATAAAAAGATAGTAATTTCATGTAATAATTGATGAAAATAATGGGAAAAATTGCAATGATAACTTTTGTCAGAGCTATCCAAAAAGGCAAGTGCTTTAACTTTCTGCTTCAACTGACTAATTAAATCAAAAGAAGAAGCTTTATGTAATAGGAATGAAGTGTGAGATATTGGAATTTCAAAGACATAATATCGACATACTAACTAAACTAAGACACATAATGAACAAATCCTAGGTAAATTGCATTGGTTAAGGGGTTTGTATGACAACATACTGTCCACACTATTGCGTATATCAATGACCTTTTTTTTTTTTTCTTTTTACCTTTTTTTTTTTTTTCTTTTTATTAGGTAAGACATCTTTTCCCACTATGGATGCACGTCCTTCCATTGCATGACCTCATTTCAGCTTTTCAATGTCTGTCTGTAACTGCACTTCATTACAAAATTGCTTTTATTGATTCAAATACGTAAATCCCAACAAGGAATATGCATAAATTTTAAACTTGGTTTTCAGTTTTCATTACCTTTCGTTACTGCTGTATGAAAAATTCGTGCAGGTTACGTATTAATATATTATGGCCTATGGGCAGTTCAACCTCTTGCAACAAATCACATGCATCCCTCAATTTTCCCATAAGTTTTCCTTATGATTAAAACGATCATGTTATCTGTATAACTATATCAATTTTATACATTATCGATATAAATTTCAATAAATATTAATATTTGACATAATGAGTGTGACTAATAATGAGTGAGATCAACGGTTAATAATGAATCTTATAATATTATTATTTTTACATAGGTGTAACTTAATCATTCATCTTATAATACTCACTATTAACAGTTGATTTTACTTATTCATAATGAGTTTAATTTATTACTCAATGAGACTAGCAATATAACTTCTTATTCTTATATTGATATAAATAAATTCTTCCTCTTTATCAAGATATTATTCATAAATAACTATTTACATTATATTTTATCCCAAAAAAAAAAACTATTTACTTTATTTTATAATATTTTAATGGGAAATTTTTTTGTCCTTTTAAAGGATATAAGCTGTGCCATTTTAATTGCTTATAACTATCTACTCCAGAGAGTACATAGTTATAAATTTATAATATTAAAGTTATACTTTCTTTTTTCACTTTCTACGTCAGCTGACAGCTTTTAAAGAGAGAAAAAAAAGTACAACTTTAATATTATAACTATGTACTCCCCGAAATATATAGTTGTAAGTAGTTAAAATGACCTAATTTACATCCTTTAAAATGACAAACCATTTTTTCAAAAAACAAAATACTTATTTAATTCATTTTTGAAATAATTATTCATATTAATACGTTTAATCTCGCACGTCAATCATGTAGCATTTATTGTTATAGAATAATATAAATCATTAAAAAAGTTATTATCCAATATTTTAAGATTTTTGGTTAAAATAATTATTTACACGGTATCAGATCACTAGGTCATGAGTTTGATTTTAAGTACAAGATAAACAAAAAAATTAGTCCCGTGTAATATTCATGCTGAACCCTTTTCGTGAACTGGTATGTTAGAACCATTAGAAAGACTTTCAAGTGTGGAAATTCTATTCTTTAATTCCCGCATTAGAAACATACAAGACTAGTCAGTACATATTGTTAAAACCACAGCACGATTATAAACCCTGTGAGTTGAAGACAAGTTGTTGGTTAATTAACCAACTTATATAAGTTATTAATTAGTAACTGAATCATTATAAACCAAAATTATTTGTGTAAAATTGATGTCCACCAAATGATATGTACGGAACATTTTCAAAATTAAAAATGAGTATATGATTCTTTACAAAATTTAAGTTTGAAGGGGCGTAAGTGACTGTACAAGATGCTTACGTTTTCAGCCCCTCAGAGTGGCCTTTATTTCCTTTTGTCTTTATATGGTCAATGTTCGATCAGACAAAATCAAGTGTAAACTTTCCTCCTTTTAAATAACAATCTCAGAAACATTTCTCAAAGACTCATAGCACCAACAACATTTCCTAGTTTCTACACACCTTCATATTTCTCTTCCTCACTAACAGGAATCATGAACTTTCAAGCTTGTTCTTTCACCATCTTGGTGTTGTTATGTGTTCATGTCCTACCAACTATGGTTTCATGTGAGTGCACATGTGACACAGAACAAGCCAAACATAGTGATGATACAAGTGAAGCTCTCCATTACAAAATTGGGTCGATAGCTTCTGTGCTTGTTGCTGGTGCTCTTGGGGTGAGCCTTCCATTGTTAAGCAAGAGAATCCCAACTTTAAATCCTAAAAATGACATCTTCTTCATGATCAAAGCTTTTGCAGCAGGGGTAATCCTTGCAACTGGGTTTATCCACATACTACCAGAAGCATTTGAAAGCTTGAACTCACCCTGCTTAAAGGAAAATCCATGGGGAAAATTTCCCTTTGCCGGGTTTGTTGCCATGTTGTCCTCTATAGGAACATTGATGGTGGATTCAATTGCCACGGGGTATTATCAAAGACAACATTTTAATCCATCAAAACAAGTTCTAGCTGATGAAGAAATTGGAGATGAACATGTTGGTCACATGCATGTTCATACACATGCCACACACGGTCATGCTCATGGATCAGCTATCTCTTCTGAGGGTTCAATGACATCTGAACAAATTCGGCAGCGCATCATATCACAAGTAAGACCAATGAGTTTTTCATAATTTTTATTGTTTATGGTGTTTACTAGTTGAGTTTAGAATTGTTTGCCTTATCAATGTTCTGTTTGGATTGGTTTCTGTGTCAGGTGTTGGAGATAGGAATAGTGGTCCATTCAGTGATCATTGGAATATCTTTAGGTGCTACAGAGAGCATTGATACCATAAAGCCTCTCCTTGCTGCCTTGTCTTTCCATCAATTTTTTGAGGGGATGGGGCTTGGTGGTTGCATATCTCAGGTATTGTAATTTGCAATTAATGCAATTCTTTTGGTTTGTATAAGAATAAGAATAAATTTTTTTAGATTTTTTTGAATAAATTATCTAACCTTTTACTATCAGTCACTAGTGAATTAAGATCTGCTTTTGGGTTTTGCATATTATATGATCACATAACTTTAAAGTTGAATATTAATTAGGATTAAAAAATATTATATATGAATGTTTTATGTGCTTCTAATGATAAATAGAATATATTGCGTGCAGGCAAAGTTCGAATCCAGGTCCACTGCAATTATGGCTACTTTTTTCTCGCTAACAACCCCAATTGGGATAGCAATTGGAATGGGAATTTCAAGTGTGTACAATGAGAATAGCTCAACTGCTCTGATTGTTGAAGGGGTTTTCAATTCTGCATCTTCTGGAATTTTGATTTACATGGCATTAGTTGATCTGCTAGCAGCAGATTTTATGAACCCAAGGTTGCAGAACAATTTAAAGCTTCAATTAGGAGCTAATATATCCCTTCTTTTAGGTGCAGGTTCCATGTCTTTATTGGCCAAATGGGCTTAACTTTTGGTGTTTTAGTTTGTTATCACTACGCAAAATAGAGCCTTATAAGTGTTTTTCCTTAATTTTCTGCTCCTTTTCTATTAGTATTTCTCTGTCTTCATTTTCAGTTTAGCATGTTCCTTGATTTATTGATGAATCAGTAAAAGAATAGTTGTGATATTAAGAAGTTTCATTATAGTTATAATTATGGAGCAAGGTCCAAATACATGGAATTCGTACTCATTAGATAAATATTTATAAAAATAAGTAAAAGAAAAGAAAAATATAAATGTGGAATAAATACTGTGATTTCGTAGCTTAGTGATTTGTAAGTGGTCCACTATGCAGAACAAGTTCTTCTTATAAGCACCCCACATTTCAGTTTGTCAATATTTCAACTTTCCGAAAAGAGCATGGTGTCTTAACTTTGATGATGCCTAACCTAATTGACCATAGATTAGTAAGATTAAATAAAGGATCATGACATGCTTAAATGCATTATGTCCCCGTTGACTCACTTTTCCCTAAAATTGACCAATTTTTCATAAATGCATTATGACGACTTAATTGTGAATTTATTTATTTATTTTTTTGGTAAAATTTGTGAAAATTTAACTCACTACAGAAAGATATATAATATTTATATTTTTATACAAGAGATTTTTTATTTTATTTTTAGTTTAAAGCGTATATAATACACAATCATTTATCTTATATTTAATTTTAACTTTAAAAAAAAAAGATATAACAAGGTTTAAATTTAAAGTATTTAATTACTTTAATATTATGTCAAATAAACTATATCAAAATTTTAACCTTATAAATAAAAATATATTAATATCTTTTATACTTAGCATACCTATCACCAATTTTAGAGGAAATGTCAATTCTCTCAAAATCTTAAATTGTTGGATAAAAGCACATCAATAATTTTATTATATCTCTTTACACTTTTCTTCATGAGAGAATCCTTTGGATTTTGAATCATGGATAATGCATAGACACATATTTTTTTTATGGTTACCTTGTGCTTAATTTCTTTTATTAGAAGAATGGGGGTGACAATGATCGAAAATATAGAAATCCTAATGCCCACAAACTCTCCCATCACACCTCAATTTGTTTGAAAGTTTTTAGAATATCACATTTTTTATTTTTTTAGCTTTTTGTATTTTAATGGCCACGTCACCCAAGTGGTTGTAACAGAATTTGTTATTCTTCTCCTTTATATTTCGATGCACACTGTACAAATACCAATCAACAAAGAATGAATATACAGTTTCAATTCTCTGCTTCTCTTTTTACTGCAAATGCAAATTTGCACTACTAATATGGTATCAGATAGCAATTTTTGATGGCTCGTGGCCATATTTGTCTTCCTCCTTCCCCTGATTTTTCTTCTGGTTCATCTTCTACAATGGAAGATGCTTCCAGCCCCTATTTCCTCCAGAGCAGTGATCATCCTGGACTAATTTTGGTAACTCACTCACTTGATGGTACCAATTATAGTTCATGGAGTAGAGCTATGCTCCTTGCTCTCACTGCTAAGAACAAATCGGTCTTCATTGATGGATCTATTCCTCATCCCCCTGATGTTGACTTGCTTTTTCCCGCATGGAACTGGTGTAACTCGATGGTAATTTCTTGGCTTCTGAATTCTGTATCTAAAGCTATTGTTATAGCTTGGTCTACTTCTCCAATGCTTTTGACGTCTGGATTGACTTACGCACTCGATTCCAACAAGCAAATGGCCGTCGAATTTTTCAATTGAAGCACGAAATCCCCTTCCTACACCATGTGAATGCTTATTACACCAAATTGAAGACTCTCTGTGAAGAACTTGAACTTCAGAGTCACATTCTCATCTCGTCATGTACTTGCGGAGGTTTGCGACATCTCTCGGTCTCTCGGCAGCAGCATGATGCTCTCCAATTTCTTATGAGCCTCAACGATTCCTTTTCTTCAGTGCGCACCCAGATCTTGTTAATGGATCCTCTTCTCTCGCTTGCTCGAGTTTTCTCCCTGGTTCTTCAAGAAGAACGACAACGCCAAATTTCCATCTCCATTCCTGCCACTCTTGATACATCATTACTGAATTCAGTAAACACTACACATAATTCCCATTTTCCCTCTGATTCCACCTCTCCGGTGGTTGCAGCCACCACCACTCCTCGTCACCTTGTCCATTTTGCACCTATTGTCATGCTCAGGGTCATGTGAAAGACAAATGTTTCCGTCTCCATGGTTTTCCCCCAGGGTACAAGCCTAGAACACCCAAACCCAACTATCACTCAAACCCGTCCCAAAGTTCCTCGGCCCATTCTAACTCAGCAGTCTCTCACCCAACTCTCCCCAATTCCCCCAAACCAATTATCCCTTACCTTAATTTCTCTCCAGCACCTTTTGTCTCCCTCAACCAAGCATAATATGAGCACCTTCTGTCTCTCCTCCACAAGAGTTCTGCTGCTCTGTCACGTCGTCTTCTGTCTCGTCAACAATGGTTCTCCCTTCGTCGCTAGTCTCAATGGTATTGTTCCTCCTTTTTTCTCTGATTCTTGTTGGATCTTAGACACCGGTGCTACCCACCATGTGTGCTTCTCTTCTCGTTTATTCCTTTCTTCTGATCTTTCTCCACCTTCTAAGGCTTCTGTCATGTCCTTTCCCAATGGCTTTACTGTTCCCGTGGTTGGATCTATCTCCATCTCTATTTCTCCTTTTTTAAATCTTTGAAATATTTTATTTGTCCCCTCTTTCACTTTTAATCTTTTGTCAATAAGTGTTCTCACTCGCGATTCCTCTTTCGCAGATAATTTTACATCTTCTCATTGCATCTTACAGGAACCTACAATGGCAACGACGATTAGGATTGCTATGCGTTGTGGCAATCTTTATGTCCTTGATGTTTGTTCTCTTTTCCCCAATATTTCTGTTCCCTCATCCCTCTGTTTTGCTGTAAATAGGCCTAGTCCTACACTTTGGCATGCTAGACTAGGTCATCTTTCTTTTTCTGTCTTGAATTCCATGAAGGATGTTTTACATAACACTGAGCATATAGAATCCACACATCATTGTAATGTTTGTCCCCTTGCAAAATAGAAACGATTACCGTTCATTTTAAATCGTAAATTGTCTTCTGCTCCTTTCACTCTTATCCATTGTGACATTTGGGGACCTTTTCAACACATATCTGTTGAAGGTCCAAGTATTTTCTTACAATTGTTGATGATGCTACCCGTTTTACATGGGCTTATTTTTTGAAATGTAAATCTGAGTTTCGCTCTGTTTTTCTTAATTTCATTCATCTTATACAAAATCAATATAATGCTTCCATCAAAGCTATTCGTTATGACAATGCTCTTGAGTTTATAATATCTGACATTTTTCATTCTAAAAGGATTCAAGTTTATCACTCATGTGTTGATCGTCCGCAGCAGAACTCAGTGGTGGAGCGAAAGCTTCAACATATCCATAATGTTGCTCGCGCCCCTCCACTTTCAATCCCATATCCCTCTTGCCTATTGGCAAGATTGTGTGTCCACAGTTATATACCTTATCAATAGGACCTTTTCCCCTCTACTTTCTCACAAAACCCTTTTTGAACTTCTATCCCACAAGCCTCCTTCCTATGATCACTTGCGTATTTTTGGCTGCCTCTGTTGTGGGTTCACTCTCCCTAAATCACGTCATAAGTTTTCCCCTAGATCTGTTCCTGCTGCTTTCCTTGGCTATCCCCCTGGTTTTAAGGGTTATAAACTGCTTCATTTAGCCTCTAACCGTACCTTTATCTTTAGGGATGTAACCTTGTTGAAACCATTTTTCCTTTTGCCTCAAATACATTTCATATTTCTCCTTTCCCTGTTTTCCCTCCCACCATCCTTTCCCCAACCGAACCTTCTCCAACAATTTTTCCTACTCACCGTCCCATTAGAGCTAGACAGCCCCCTTCCCATTTGGCTGAGTATATTTGTTCCTCTTCCACAGCTCACCCTCTTTCAAATTTTCTTTCCTACCGAAAACTTTCCCCTTCCCATATTGCCTTAATTAATTCTTTGTCCAATCATTTTGAGCCAACTTTTTTTTCTGAAGCATTTCAACTTCCTGAGTGGCAGGCAGCCATGGATGCTGAAATTCTGGCTTTACAACAATACAATACTTGGTCCATTATGTCTCTTTCCCCTGGCAAGAATAATGTTGGCTGCAAATGGTTCTATAGAGTTAAATATAACTCAGATGGCTCTGTTGAAAGGTATAAGGCACAGTTAGTGACCAAGTGGTTCATTCAACAAGAATGAGTGGATTTTTCTGACACATTTTTGCCTGTAGCAAAATTAACTTCAGTTCGTTTACTGCTTGCACTTGCTGCTCTTCATAATTAGCATCTAATTCAATTAGATGTCAATAATGCTTTTTTAGATGGGGACTTAGAGGAAGAAGTTTACATGCATTTGCCCCCTGGTTATCATGGACAGGGGAGTCTATTCTCTATGATGTGTGTAGATTGCATAAGTCTTTATATGGGCTTAAACAAGCCTCTAGACAATGGCTTGCAAAATTCTCTTCAGCTTTGTCTGCTCTCGGATTTACACAGTCTAAGGCTGATCATTCTTTATTCATAAAGCACTCTGATTCATTTTTTGCAGCTCTTCTCATATATGTGGATGATATCCTTTTTGCCTCTAACAATTTATCTGAAGTACAGCTTCTCACTGCTCTTCTAGACAGCAAATTCAAGCTTAAAAACCTTGGACCTGTCAAGTATTTTTTTGGACTTGAAGTGGCTAGATCCTCTAAAGGAATATCTCTCTGTCAGCACTAATATGCACTAAATATTTTGCAGGATGCTGGGCTATCTGGTTGTAAGCCGAAGTCAACTCCAATGGAAGTCAACTTAAAGCTCTCATCACATGATGGAGACCCCTTACCTAATCCAACTCCATATAGAAGACTTATTGGATGACTTCTGTACTTGACCATCACAAGGTCAGATCTCTCCTTTGCAGTGAATCATCTTAGCCAATACATAGCTGATCCTCGGGTTCCTCACCTTCAAGCAGCTCATAGAATACTTGCCTATGTAAAAGTTATTATTGGTCAAGGACTATTTTTTCCATCTAACTCTTCTTCACATCTGAAAGTCTTTTGTGATTCAGACTGGGCTTCTTGCTTAGATAGTCGTCATTTTGTATATGGTTTTTATGTTTTTCTTGGAGCTTCCCTCATTTCATGGAAATCAAAGAAGCAACACACCATTTCTAGAAGCTCAGCAGAGGCTGAATACTGTTCAATGGCAAATGCAGCCTGCAAAGTTCTTTGGCTCTTACAGTTACTCAAGGATCTTGGTCTTCCTCATCCTTCTGCTGCACATCTGTTTTGTGATAACAAATCTGCTCTTCATATTTTAGATAATCCAGTTTTTCATTAGCGTACGAAACACATTGAAATTGACTGTCACCTCGTACGAGATTGCATTGTTCGTGGCCAGTTGAAAACCTTCCACAATGCCTCTTCTCATCAGATTGTTGATATGCTGACCAAAGCTTGTCATCCAAGTCATTTTTCTGCTCTTCTCTCCAAGATAGGAGTTCTTAATATACACTCTCCATCTTGAGGGGGAGTATTAGAATATCACATTTTTTATTTTTTAGCTTTTTGTATTTTAGTGGCCACGTCACCCAAGTGGTTGTAACAGAATTTGTTATTCTTGTCCTTTATATTTCGATGCACACTTTACATATACCAATCAACAAAGAATGAATATACAGTTTCAATTCTATGCTTCTCTTTTTACTTCAAATGCATATTTGCACTACTAATAAAATTAGAGCTATCAAAAAGGGTTATTGCCTGCAGGCCAACCCAAAATGCTCTATATTTGGCCATAACCCTCTAAAACCCACTTTATAATAGGGTTTTTCTAACCCTAACCCATACAGTCCTATGATTTAGTGAGTTGAGTTTGGGCTTATCCACAAACCAAAATTTCTCATTCATCTCAATGGTCATCATAAAAAAATAAAAAAATATATATAAACTTATTTATATATATTTATAAATATTAAATAAATTATAAATATAATATAATAATTAAAATATTATACACACACACATATATATATACATACGTAATACTTAAAAATACACTTACTTTTAAATCTAAATTATTTAAAATAGATAAACTTGTATTCAAATATGAATTCACATCCTTTGAGTAATCCAAATTTGAATCCATTGGTCTGGAATGTCAAAAAATATTATTTTCTTAATAATTAATAATTAATAATGCGAGAATGGATAAGTGTTGGAAAATTTTGATCAGCAGAAACGATTTCGGACATAGTAGTACATTTGTATGCTTACGAATCATTATTGTCTCGCAACCACAAAGGTCATACCTCTCAAAGCGCAGATCCGCGAGAAACCTCTCTTATGTAGGTGTGATGTTCCTTCTCGCCTCTAATGCCACATAATGTCCTCTGCACGAACTTGCCTCCTCAACATCACAACACAAATAGACTTCCTCAGCGTCACAGTACGATCTGACCTCCTTCCTCAAGGGGCAAAGGGGAAGTATGTGGGCACTCTTAGTTTTTCAGATCTAATCTTACCCCAGCAAGAGTAGCTTGGAGGCTGATGACTAAAGTGAAAATGTATATATGGGTACTAAGAAACCCTAGCCCTGAGTTTCTTGGGCTCTAGGCTTCTTAATCTCTTCTTATTCACTGAGCCCAATTGGAATTTGGTAAAATAACATAAACACAATAATCTCCCACTTTCTCTTAAGTACAAACTTGAGCCCCAAGCCTAAACTCATGTAACTCACTAGTCATCTTCAACTAAAATTACCTCTCCATTATCTCAAGCTAGCCTGGGGATCTACAATTTATCATTAATCAAGGCTTCTGATAATCAACAAAAGATTATCTGATTCGGTGCTACTTCACTAAAAGCCCGAACTTAAAATCCAAGATTATTAATTATAATTTGAATATGTATCACCCCTTTGTAGAAGGTCTATAACTGACTGATGAGCTTTCTGTTACTAAATCAATTATTTGTTCTCTTGACTGTGATAGTTTCTCTAATGGATTACATGCACTGGCCAATGTCTTCAATATCGAAGAACTGAAACATATCAAGGGGACATTTCTTACAAATTCCATATTATTTATCTCATATATACCTATAATAAAATAGTCTCACTCTCAAAATATCGAGTTATT